AAAAAGATTTAGAGCTTAGAAACCCCCCCCCCCCTCTGTAGAAATCTAGATCTGCTCTGCTCTGTCCGTCCGGTTGCTGCTCTTGCTTGTGGGTGCGAATTTCTCTGATTTTTAGGTAAGAAACAACCATTAAATTCTCTATTCTTCCTTGAATTGGTTTGGGTTTACTCTAAATCCTCTTGGTTCTTCCAATTTTTCGATAGATTTCCCGATTTTTCCCTTGCACTTCCGCCGGCCTTCCCCCAACTACAGGTCCGGTTTTTGCTGCTAAATTCTGGTATGTGACAGCCCTTTTAAGCCTAAAATTATCCATTAGTTGCTGAATTTAGTCCATGAATTACTGCCCCATGTGCTGTCTGAATTTTGTTGAATTAGGGGGATGAATTCTGGTAGCTTTAGGACAAAATTTAAGCATTAATTCAAGTGAAATTTATGTGATTGAGTGTTAATTGACTACTGTGAGGTTCTGGAGAAAAATCCCGTGAGATTAACTATGGTTTTGCTAATTTTTGGAAGGTGCAGTTATTGTTTCTTGCGTGATTACAGTTCATGGGTACTGTTCACAGATACTGTTCACGCACTAATGGCCAACAATTAACGGGGATTAAATGTTTAGTTGTAATATAAGAACAAATTTGGAGATGTCCAGTCATAGGGAGACTAATAGAAATAGCATCGTGATTAAGGATGATCCTAATGAAGTTTTCACTTTGAATTTGTGATAGCATGGTATTAATTCTGGGGTATTTTGATTAGGTTCTTGAGTGTTTTGCCACCCGAGTACTTGACTTGAGTTCCAGATTTAAGGTAAGTAAATTATGGTAATGCCCTTTGATTTCAAAGCATGTTTTAAATTGTTTTTGAGATGGTAGTAAGGTTTAAATTGATTTTATTGATTTAAATTTATTTTATTAGCACCGAACATGATTGATTTGAAATGGAATTATTTTTGTTTTCATTTAGTAGAGCATGCCACTTGGAACTTACTAAACTGCTCTGATGATTTAAGAATTTTTCGTAAATTATGATTTTCTGTTAAATCCATGCCCACATGGAATTTTTCAAGTTTATTCTGAAATTTGATATTGATTGTGAATTATGGATTTTTTTGTAAATCTTACATGGTTTTGTCTTTGATATGGTCATGTTATCCGTGTGCCCGCTAGTGGGAGTAAACGCTAGCACATGTTGACATGTTTATTGATATGACTGGTTCATTCTGTAATCCTGCCAATGGGATAATACATTGGTAATTTTTGACGCCTGCAACTGGGCGAATACATTGGTAATTTCTGACGCTTGCCACTGGGCGAATACATTGGTAATTTCTAACGCCTGCCAATGGGCGAACACATTGGTAATTTCTGACGCCTGCCAGTGGGTGTTAAACGTTGGCCATGACTTATAGATGAGACTACTACTGAATTTTCTTCTGCATTAACAGTTTGTCATTGAACGTTTTGTTATTGAACTGAATTTGATTCTGTATTAACAGTTTGTCATTGAACGTTTTGTTATTGAACTGAATTTGATTCTGTATTAACAGTTTGTCATTGAACGTTTTGTTATTGAACTGAATTTAATTATGTATTAATGGTTTATCATTGAACGTTGTTATGTTAAACTGTTTATCAGGCATGCTAAAATGTTACTCACGGGCTATTCATATATTTACTTACTGAGATATTTTATCTCACCTAGTTTTTCTTGTCCACCATTTCAAGAAATGAAGTCAAGGACGGGGAAAAACGAGGGGAGTGACGAGTTAAAAGGCTAGCCACCTATAATTTGATATAGATTTTTGATATAGATCATGATCTTGTAAGCTAGATTTTAATTGGAGATTTTATAAATTCATTTAATGGATTGTTAATTTACAAGAGATTTGACCTTGAGATTTTGAGTTTAAGTCATGTTGGACATAGAATTATGTTGAAATATCTAATTTAAGTTATTGGATTGTCAGATGTGAATTGGATAAGTTCCGAGCCTTATGCATTTGTGGGACCCTCTCACGAGTGCACGACGTCTGCCACGTCCCCAGATTTGGGTTCTGGGGCGTGACAATCTCTGGTCAACAAACCACAAGAATCCTTGTTGCAATAACTAAAGAAAGAATTGTTGTGTAAAAATAGATAGTCACAATCTGAAGAAGCAACATCATATGCAACAACATCCTATAGTGACTAAATGAAAGCAACAAACTTCTTTAGCAATGTTTCCCAATACTTTGACATCAAAGATGACATAGTTGACACCTTAGCAGGGCTAAAAAATATGAGTATGGTTGCACTCTTACTTTACATGGCTGCAACAAATTCAACAATGTAAGGCTTCATGGCTTGCATTCACACGTAAGTGACTTCTTATCCCAATTTTCTTTAGAAGGAGCAACAATTTTTAAATCTGGTTTGCTTTCATGACGACAAAATAAGTCATATCTCTTTTTCTCCCCTGTTTACTAATGAATCTCCCCTTTTGAATAGCAGAATCACTTCTTTCTATATAGTTCCTATAAAATGTAAATCTCTTGTTCACTCATAAAACAGAGGCCAACAAACGATTTAAAGATGCTTTCTAATGAACCATCATCATTTTCACTTTCAAAATTTTTCATAGTTTTCTTCTTCCTTGGGAGGGTCATTCAAGTCGTTTAGTTATGTGAACAACAAATCCATCTACAATAGATTTTCCAAGCATGATGAACACTTGAAAACTAGAAATTCAATTAAAAAAAAAAACGAAACATTAAGACAAAAAGTAGACAAAACAACTCAATCAAAATAATAATTTTAAGTGATAAGCGTACCTAAAATAGAAATTTCCTTGTCACATTCAACAAAAAAAAAAAATAAAGAAGAAAGAGAAAATAAAGCTCAATCAAATTACGCGATTTTCTCCTAACTTCCTTTGTAGAGATTAGATGAAATTATTATAGGAGAAAAACTTTATCAACCAAAAATAAAATAGGGAAATTATGGGGGGAAAGATAGCAGTTGTTACTCACTATTAATTTCCTTCCTAAAAAGCAATCTTTGACAACCCTTTCTAATCCCTAAAAAAAAAAAAGGGAAACCCTATATATTTTTTCATTCTTCAATTTTCTCAACTATTTCCTATGACATTCTTTATTGTTTCTAAGATCTCAAATTAGCTAGAGATAACATCAGAGAAAATGCCTCTGATATGACCATAAAAAGGAATTCGTTGCTAAACCAATAGATTTGCCAAGCAAGTGTTGTAATTTTTCCCAAATCCTTAGTTATGGTGAGTTCACTATGAATCCTCAACTCAATTAGCAACTTTGATTTTCAAAAAGCAAATTTGCATCTTGAATTCTCGAACTTTCATTGTTCCCTTTGTTAGCCCATGTTTGGCACTTAGAATTCAACATATCCTTTACTACCATGTTCTATTCTTAATAAGGACTTCTCTATTAACACACCATACTCTTCAATTTTTGTAATTTGAATTTGTAAGGATAGGCCCGAGGTTCTTAACCTTAGACGTACTGCCATATTTCAGTAATGACCAAAGTAGCTTGCAAGCTCAATTATTCTCGGTCGTGCAATAGCATGACAGCTACAGTAGACATGCCTGCACCCGCTTCTCTATCCTCGAGATGATCGCCTAAATGGACACGTCAGATTCCGATTATCTTGTTAAGTAGGCCATGTGGATACCTCATTAGAGTCTATAAATACTCCTAGGGGCTACCTCAAAAAGGTAATTGAAACCGACCTAAAGCTTCATTTCCATTATTCTAAAGGTAGATTCGATTATTGCTGATTTAAGCATCGGAGTGTCTACCCCGAGGATGCACCTTGAGGCTTTGCAGGTTTATCCGAAGTGAAGACATGGACTGAAGAAAGACTTTTGGTTTGGTGCAATTACATTTGGCACCGTCTGTGGGAACTCGAATAAAAAGCTTTATTAATATGTTGATCAGGTTGATTAGAGGGAGAAGGAGATGAGTGAAAAACCCATGGCATATTCTTTTGAGTTGCAGAAGTAGATCTGATGAATTTATAGAATGAGTTTATTCGACTATGAAAAAGAAAAGCTTTCACAAAGTAGATCTAATGAGTTTACAAAATGGGGTTTATTTGCTTATAAAGAAGAAGAGAAGCTTTCACAAGAAGATAAACAAGGGAGTAACTTTGCACAACTATCGAGCTTTTATTTAATGAAATCAAAGGCACGCATGGTGCAATGTCAGCCATGAATATTCAAGAAGGAAAAAAGGTGTTAGTAAAGCACAACATAAGGCAACTCAAAGCAGTAAAAAAAAAAGGCATTCTAAAAGAGACAAGATGAGCTTGAGGTTAATAATGGTGGCAAAACAGTTGCCCAACTCAGCAACAACAAGCATTCTCCTAGCTTGGTAGCAACAAAGTAGTCGCCCAACTTAACAGCAACAAGCATTCTCCTAGTTTGGCAGCTCGGCAGTGACAAGCATTCTCCCAGCTCTACAGCTCGGCAGCAACAAAGTAGTCCAGCTCAGCAGTGGCAAAACTCAAAGCAGTACTCCAACTCGATAAAAGCAAGGCAGTCCAACTCAACAGTAGCAGAGTAGCCCAGCTCGGTAGCAGCAAAGCAGTCTCCCAGCTCGACGGCATGCACCGAGCAAATTTGTAATGAAGCTTATTGAAGAAGACGAGAGCAATCAACAAAATATGATGATGGTTAGCCCATACCTGCAACAGATTAATAACACTCTATGAAACCACTGGGAAGACGTGGGTTCCAACCACAAGCATCCTCCTTGGGCAATAAACCATTTGAGTTTGGTAACCACTTTGCAATTATTGGGGAGATAAATCTTAATCTTTTATTATTTTACTTTATTTTTTATATTGTTTTATTTTCTTTTGCTGTAGAGCAAGTTGGAATCTTCCTCTCTTTTGAATTTGTTCTTGCAGAATCCAAGGGATAAGTCCCTGACTAGGCAGCTTGCCAGTAGCATATTAAATCCCTCCAATCAGCTGCTAGGGAGCAAAAGCTTATGGTTCCAATGACAGAAAAAGCTGATGGTAGTGTTAGAGATGGAGGCTTTGGATGGACTGGACACCACCCTTCAGGATGACAATTAAACCACTACCAAGAACACGCATGCTGCTTTGAGAAGCCAGCAATCTCATTGTAAGGATAGGTCCGAGGTTCTTAACCTCGGACATACTGCTGCATTTCTTTAATAACTGAAGTGAAGGTTAAATCCAGTACTTCCCAATCAAACAACTGTATGACAATTACAATGAACATGTCCACACCTGATTTGCTAGTCCTGAGATCATCGCCTAAAGGGACACGTCAGACTCCGATTATCTTATTAAGCAAGCCACGTGGACGCCTCTTTAAGGCCTCTAAATACCCCTAGGGACCACCTCAAAAAGGTAATTGAAACCGACCTAAAGCTCCTTTTTCCATTATTCTAAAGGTAAATCCAATTATTGCTAACTTAAGCATCAGAGTGTCCACCCCGAGGATCCACCTCGGGGCTTTGCAGGTTCATCTGGAGTGAAGACACGGATTGAAGAAGGACTTCTAGTTTGGTGCAATTACACTCATCTCATGCTCAATTGAGAGCAGAGGCATTCAACCGCCCACGTAGCATCACCAAACCATTTGGAGGCTCGAAGAATTTGCCCGTGAACGCACCCTACACATCTGCAAGTGGGGATCTAAAGCTCATCACTCCCATCGCATCACCTTGTTGCCCCTTCTCGGGTCATAAGCTTACGTTACTAAACCCTGTTACTATTGCTCTGATGAGCCAGCAGCCTCCGGTTCCCCATTTGTGGAAGGAAGATAGCATCTACCCGTAGCCCCGAGCAACCTCGTGGGAGCTTGGTAATAACAAGCTACAAGCATCCTACCCGAGGTCGAGCTGAAAGATGTAGAGCACAAGCTACATCCTGCTCGAGCATGAGCTGCAAAGATACAAACACCGCCACGAGTAGCCTCATGGAAGTTCGACAATAACGAGTTGTGAAGTCCCTGCTAGAGCATGAGCTGTGAACTTCCTACTGGTGCACAAGCTGCAAAATCCTTGATCGAGCACAAACTACAAAGTCCTTGCTACAACACGAGCTAGGAATTGCAAGAGCATGAGAAGCGAACTACAAGAACATGAGCTACAAGCTGCTGAGTTCAAAAGCACGAGTTGTCGAGCTTAAAAGCACGATGTAGAACTTGGGCAAGATCTTTTGAGCTGCTGAGCATGAGCTGTATAGCACAAGCTGCCTAGCACAACTTGCCTATCATGAGTTATCGAGCACGACCTGTCGAGATGCAAATATCCCATCCGAGCACGAGTTGCCAAGCTCGAGCGCGAAGTGTAAAGGTCAGGCACGATTTGCCGAGGTCAAAGGCATGAGCTGCCGAGGTCAAAGGCACAAGTTGCCGTGGTCAAAGACACGAGCAACCAAGCTCGAGCACAAGCTACAAATATCTTACTTTAGCATGAACTGAAAAATGTAGAGCACGAGTTGCAAGGGGCAACACCCTTAGAAAGGTGCCGACACCTTTCCTGCATCTATCCTGAACTGTGTCAGGTTTTTGTCCTTCTCTGCAAATTTGGTTAACAATAAAATTACAATCCCAATCCCTTACTTTTGGTGTCTGCATAATTTAATCCTTAAATTTCATATTTTTGCAATTTACTCCTAAGGATTGTGACTTCTTCCAATCAAGTCCTTCCCAGCGCAAAGAATGATAATTATGCAAAATTAAGTAAATTTTCATAAAACTCATCCAAATATCAACAATATCAAGGCATAAATTCTACATTAATATATATAAATTTAGTTCATCAGCCACATATTGCTTTGAAAATTAAAAAAAGATGAATTTGCAATCTTTTCCTTTTATTTATTTTATATAATATACTTTCTTGATTATAAAGCTGGATGCCTTTGATTTCTCCTTTCTTCAAGTCTTTGTGATATAGGTTGTCAAGAAAGCAATTGAGCTCCATAGCAAATTAGAGCTTTGGTCCAAGTTCGGTCCAATCTTATATTAAAATTTATTATTAATTGCTTTCTGCATTCTTTGCATTCATTCCACATTTTTCCATTCATTCTGCACTTGTTTTTGCATTCATGATATCATTTTGTCATCTCATTTTTTATATATATCACAATCATGCTACTTTGCCCATTTGCACTTATGATTATAAATATACGGTGCTATTTTGACATGGAAAAGTGTAGGGACTCCATGTGGGTGGGTTATAGAAAAATCCCTTTATGGTGAGCTCCTTCATCAAAATTATGTACGAGTTATGAATAACTCCTTTAAAAAAAATTTTCAAAAAGTCGTAAGCTCCAATCATAAAGCTCATCAGCTTATAAAGATGATCAAGTAAATTCATTCTCCACCATTATTTATGAGAGGCTAGATTCTTTCTCCATCATTTGGTCCTAAGTCAAGGCAAGAGGGAGTTAACATTGTCCATGAGAAGCCAAATTCTTTCTCAAGCTTCTACCTCATTACTTGTAGTTCTTCCCTCAAGTATAAATTAATTCTTCTAGACAAATCAAGTAAGTGTTACATATTAGAAATTTCAAAATTTCTTTGCACATTTAAGATTTTTATGACTTATTTTGCATATCTAATTTTTGTTGTTATATTTACAAGCTAGAAAGACTTCTTAGTACAACATGCATGATTGCTTGTTTATTGGACATGTTAAAGCATAAAAAATGAAAATAATATAATTTATGATTACAAAGTTTATGTTTATTGACCCCAAACGTGCAGGTTGAGGGGGGAGAAGAGTCATATATTATGACTTCTAATAGGAACGTATAATTAAAAAGTGCAGCTTCATAATTTACTTTAATTACAATTATTAACTATGATACTGAGCTAAAGATATGTGTATATATCTGTATCCTTATCATATAGTATGGTCAACCTCAGACTTTAACAATAGGAACTTCACATGCTGACTTAGGAACTTAGACAAGTTCATAAAACTTAATAAATTAAGTGAATTCATTTAAAGATAGCTTGATAGGAAATGAAAGAATATATATATATATAAAGGATGTGATGATAGTTCAAGGTCAACAGCCCATTCCGAGGTGAACTACCTTGGATGAGGTAAACAACCTCAGATGAACTCAACTGCTTGAGCTCATCCTAATGGCAATCCATTCCAAGGTGAACAACCTTGGATAAGGTAAACACCCTCAGATGAACTCAACTACTTGAGCTCATCCTCATGACAATCCATTCCAAGGTGAACTACCTTGAATGAGGTAAACAACCGCCGATGAACTCAACTACTCGAGCTCATCCTAATGGCAACCCATTCCAAGGTGAACTACCTTGGATGAGGTAAACACCCTCGGATGAACTCAACTACTTGAGCTCATCCTCATGATAAGCCATTCCAAGGTGAACTACCCCTGGATGAGGTAAACAACCTCAGATGAACTCAACTACTTGAGCTCATCCTTATGACAATCGAGCTCAGGTCTAGTTAAATAGTTAAAATAAGGAAAACCTTGAAATATTTTAATATAATAGCCAAGGTGATCCATGAAGTTTTTAGGTGAGATATTCAAGGATGTCACCTAATAAATTTCTAAAATCACCTAGTGAAGAATATATATATATTTTATGAATTTTTATATAGTGTGGAGGCCCTGTGGGCTATAGTCTATTAAGAAACTAAAAAGAAATCTAAAACACTAGCACTTAGCCTCCTAAAGCCATGTTAATCATTTTCAATCTAATCTAGAGATCCTGGCTTATAGCTAGTTGGTTTGCTTCGCCATCTTTTCAAGTCAGCAAGCTTGCAGCCAGCTTGCCATTTCACTAGCCATCCTATTCCACCTCTCATGGGCCATTCATCAACAAGATATGTTAAGCCCCTATTTATTGAATATATTGAATATAATATATTCTTCATGTTTTAATTAAAAGTGAGTGACTTGAATAACATTTATTTATATTAATACATTTGTGGACTCTCATGCAAATGGTGGAATAACCCATAAGCTAATGGTATCCATGAGCTGGTGGTCTTTATTTTGGTTCTAACTTAAAGAGATAAATCTCTCTTTGAGAGGAGGAATGGGAATACATAAACATAAGCAACAAAAATAAACTTCTATATGTTACTTGGCATGTGTTTAATTAGCTATTTGAATAACTCAACTTGAGTATATTTTAAAGATTCATATTTTAGTATTGTTTATTTTTATGACTCTTCCCACAAACATTTATATTTAATTGTTATGCCACTTTAGTACTGATGCATCTCATATATTATTGATTATTGATGAACTAATGGTATCTTGTCAGGTTCTATGTTTAGAATGAATTCTTACAGGTCTCAAGAGTTTGTTAACTCCCTGGCTTGGAAGACTCAGAAATATGTTATCAGCTTTTGAACCCTTGAGTTCATCAGAAAACATTATTGGCCTTTGAAGCCATTAGCTATTAGCTTTTTAGCCCATTTGAACTACAAGAGCTTACGCCCATCAACTATTAGCTTCCCAGCTCATTTTTTCTATGAAAACTTAGTTCAATCTTAGCTCTGCAAGGCATAACCCTCAAAAGGGTTTGATTTTTATGCTATGACTCGAGAGGTCAAGATTTTCTTATGGGCATCTCAAGGAGGGATTCTGTGGTAGGCATCTCTAGTTACCAAAATTGGTATTCAATCAATTCTACAAAAACTGGTTCTCCTCCTAGCTCTATAGAGCATGACTCTTAGAGGTCTGACTTCCATTATTATGGTCCATGAGGTCGCAAGTCGTCACTTTCAAGTTGTCATTTTCATGTCGTCATTCTCAGCTACAACCATAACACATGACTATGGATCATGCATCTTTCCTTCGGCCATTGCCATAATGACCATGAGTCACCTATTTTACTTCGGCTCTGGCCACAGTGACCCTGAGTCATCTATTTTACCTCGACTTCGGCCATAAACATTTTACCTTAGCTCTGGCCATAGTGACCCCAAGTCACGCATTTTACTTCGATTCCGACCATAGTGACCCTGAGTCACTCATTTTACTTCAAATCCAGCATACTCCCCTCATTATTTGGTCTTGTGATATTTCATCACATTTTATCATGTATTCCCCAATAAAGTATACACTTCCTTTACCACTTCTAACTACATCATTCACAAGTGAATGACTTTGAGGGGGGAATAGTGTAAGGATAGGTTTGAGGTTCTTAACCTTGGATGTACTACCATATTTCATTAATGACCGAAGTAGCCTGCAAGTTCAGTTCTTCTCAGTCGTGTAGTAACATGATAGCTACAGTAAACACACCTACACCCAATTCTCTATCCCCAAGATGATTGCCTAAATGGACACATCAGACTCTGATTATCTTGTTAGGCAGGCCACATGGATACCTCATTAAAGCCTATAAATACCCCTAGGGGCCACCTCAAAAAGATAATTGAAACCGACTTAAAGTTCTTTTTCCATTATTCTAAAGGTAAATTCGATTATTACTGACTTAAGTATCGGAGTGTCTGCCCCGATGATTCACCTCGGGGCTTTGCAGGTTTATTCGAAGTGAAGACATGGACTAAAGAAGGAATTCTGGTTTGGTGCAATTACAGAATTGTAACTAAATTGATTTTTAATCCCTTACAGAAAGAGATCGTTTTTGATTGGGTTACAATGGAACACAAAGAGAAAATTAACGCAATTAAAGAGAGAAGAGAAACAAAGATAGAGGGACAAAAAATGTCTCTCGTAAAAATCAATAAAGACATTTTAGTCTTAATAAAAAGTAAAAAATCACTAATTAAAATAGTCACTCAACCCATGAAAAATACCTAAATAATTAGTATTTGATACCATAATAAAGGTTTTGTGAACATGTGACCGAAAAAAAAAAAAAAAAAACGAAAATGAAAACCAAAAGCGAAATACGGGAAAAGAGAACATAACGTGGCATTTGCAGGGTCGCAAGTGTATTTTTACAAAACTGAACTCTAACACACGGGATTCTAGATCCGTAAATATCCACCATCCTCGCATCCAAGATTCATAAACCCTTTCTCCCTTTCTTTTCCCTAAAACCCTAAACCTCATTTCCTCCGTTCTGAAAACTCAAAATGATGAGTATAATCTTTAGACGCTCATCGACGCCGGGCCTGGCTGCTGCCTCTGCAGCTATCCAAACTCTCCAGCGTCACTACTTCTCTGTCGCTGCTTCAATAAGCAGAAGTGTCGATGGTGTTGTAAGACCGTTGGCCAGCTTTCCGGCTCTAGAAAGTGGATTTGGGATAAATAAAGCAAGGAACTTTCACGCGAAAACTAGACCGTTGAATTTCAGGGCATCGCCGGTGTCGCGGGCGGAGTTCGCTGTCCACGAGTATACATCGTCCTTTGGTGAAGACAAGGCCTTCAAAGCCGCTAATGACAATACTACCAGTGACGATGATGGGCTCGAGATCGCTAAACTTGGCATTTCTCAAGAGATTATCTCTTCTTTGAGCAAGAGGGGTATCACCAAACTCTTTCCCATCCAGGTGTCTAATTGTTATTTCTCTTTCCGTGTTTTTCTTTTCTGAATTTAAAATTCTCATTATTCATTTGGTATAAAAAGTGTGTAAAATTACAATTTATTTTTCTTCCCTTCTGATAGAGAGCAGTGCTGGAGCCTGCAATGCAAGGGCGTGACATGATTGGACGTGCAAGAACAGGAACAGGAAAAACCCTAGCCTTTGGGATTCCCATAATCGACAAAATCATTCGGTTCAAGGCTAAAAATGGGTTTGTTTTACTTTAATTGATATGATTTCTATTTTATTTTAGCTTTCCACGGAGCCAAACAATTTTTTTCAATTATCACGGGATGTTTGGCAATGTCAATCATTGGATGCAATTGGCTGGATATCTTTCCCCTTTTATATGGTGTGCTACCTTTTTCTTATGCTCACTACCTGTTTGTGCTTAATAATGCAGAGTTGGAAGAAACCCTTTGTGCTTGGTCTTGGCACCAACTAGAGAACTTGCTAAACAAGTTGAGAAAGAATTTCATGAGTCTGCTACCAGCTTGGATACCATTTGTGTTTATGGAGGTACACCCATTAGCCGCCAAATGAGAGAACTTGACTATGGTGTTGATGTGGCGGTTGGAACACCCGGCCGCATAATTGATCTTCTCAACAGAGGTTCTCTGAATTTATCAGAGGTTCAGTTTCTTGTTCTTGATGAAGCTGATCAGATGCTTCAAGTGGGTTTTGCGGAGGATGTTGAAAGAATTCTAGATAGTTTGCCAGAAAATCGTCAGAGCATGATGTTTTCAGCAACAATGCCTAATTGGATCAAAGAACTTACACGGAAGTACCTTAAGGATCCATTAACTATCGATCTTGTGAGTGGGCATATCTGATTAGTCATAATTTCTGCATTAACCATGTAACTTCTTGGATTTTAATTAGTTTGCTGGACTTTGACTATTTTGCAATTTATGCCTCCGACAATTGATTCCTTTGGTTTATAGTCTTTTCTCAAGCAATTAGTGGGGATATTCTATAAATTTCAAATATCTTTTAGATATTTTGGTTTAATGACGATTATCATCTTTGGGAAGTTTGTGATTTGTATACCACTGTCAGACACATTTTCATATTCAAGGATTGTGCATGATTTTCCTTTCTTTTGGCTTCTTGCTTTTTAATTACTAATTAGTTATGTAGGTTGGAGATTCTGATAAGAAGCTTGCTGAAGGAATTTCCTTGTACTCAATCACATCAGATATGTATGGAAAAGCATCAATCATTGGTCCTCTAATAACAGTATGATCCCAAAACAATAGTCTCGCTACATTGTTGATTTCACTTACTTGGGTTGGATGTGCTTAATCTTTGCTTCTTTTTTTTTTTTTTTTTTTGGTTCAGAAGAAGATCAAAATCATTCTACTTTTAAATTTAGTCATTATGCATTATGTGTTTCTTTTCTCATCGTCAAAGTTATTTCTTTTAGGAACATGCAAACGGAGGAAAATGTATTGTTTTCACCCAGACAAAGCGTGATGCTGATCGACTAGCATATGCCATGTCTAGAAGCTATAGGTGTGAGGCTTTGCATGGAGATATCTCACAAAGCCAGAGGGAAAGAACTCTTTCAAACTTTCGAGAAGGCCATTGCAATATATTAGTTGCTACTGATGTTGCTGCTCGTGGCCTTGATGTGCCTAATGTTGATCTTGTGAGTTGTCTTTCTTGCTCTTCAATCTCATGTTAGCTGTTTCTATAGTTGTTTTCTTTATAAGATATATTGTTTTCATTTGATGATAGATAATATATCTAAAGATATACCTATCTTCTTTATTATTTTTTTAGCCCATAAAGCTGTATGGACAGTGGAGTTTGTAATATACATAGAATGTAAACTTCTTGTTCATTCTATCATAGCTAGGATTAGTCATGGCACCCAAATGGCACTTATATGCTCTTGATAATGTCTGTGTTTGATGTTGGCCTCTGATAAACTTTTGATCTTATGATATGATTGTCTGTTTGGCCACTATTATTTATCTCATATTTACGGCAAGTTTTTTTTTGCCAGTATTACTGCTGTGCATTTTTTTTTTTTAAACATAATTTGCCTTTATATTTTGTCATTACCAAAGGCCCTGTTGAAATCTAGGGCAATAATTTAAAACCATGGTATGAGTGCAAACAGGCAATGGAAAAATGCTACAGTTTGGCAATTTAATAGTTGCTTTTAATGTGTTGGAATTTTAATAGAATGTACTTCATTGTTGGCTGTGTTTAAAACAATAATGTATCTAAAAACTATTTTTGATAGTCTTCAAGAAACATATCCAGCCATCATTGTAATTTTCTTGAACTGCTGGGTCTGAGGTGGTGCGCTTCAGTTCTTTTGCTTCTTTTGGTGCTTGCATATTTTATATTTAACAAATTTTATTGGTAAAGATTTCTTTAGGATGAATGTTTTAGTCTTGTTAAATTATTTTGGTTGAAGGCCTTCTGCAGATCCTTGAGTTTGGAGATGTTGTACCTGAATTAAACTTTTACTTAACACTCCTATGTTTCTTTATCTTCATTTTTGTTTTTGGAGCCCTGGAGTTGTGTTTGACATGATCATTCTGCATTAAATTATATTGCTTCTATGGTGTTCCTTGAATTCTTGCTAATGTTTACTTATGTGAATTTTTTGCAAAGGTAATACATTATGAGCTTCCAAACACTTCCGAGACTTTTGTTCATCGAACAGGCCGAACAGGTCGTGCTGGAAAGACAGGAGCTGCAATTCTCATCTACACTTCAGATCAAGCCAGGGCAGTGAAGGTTATTGAGCGAGACGTGGGATGCAGATTTACTGAGGTTATAATCTTGCCTTATTCCCACTTCAATTTCTATTTACCTTCTCTTTATATTGAACATCATTTAATCAATGTCCTCTTGATACCTGATAAATGTGGTTCCACAACTATCAATCTTTACGTTGAAGTCTGTAGGATGTCCACACAACCTTAATACTTAGAATGAGATCCCATGTGTTGCTTTAAATAATTAGACTTGGACGTCACTGGATGCACATAGAAAAATCCTTTTGTTTTTTTTATTGGCATGAAAAATCACATTTTAAAATATATAACTTTGAAATAAATGGGAATGGATTTGTTTGTTTTGCTCCCCATTGTCCTTTCTGTGTTCATCCACACGTGATTTCATTTTGTGGTTGAATTGATTATGTTTGTACTTTTGTTTATCTTCTTATACTGATTACTTGTAAATTAATTGTAGCTTCCTAGGATTGCAATTGAGGCGGGGAGCAGGGACATGTTAAGTAATATGAGTCCTGGTGTTCGATCTGGATCTTTTGGAGGTGTGAGAGATCGCAGATTTGGTGAAACAGGTTTTGTTCGTTCTGGTGGTCAAGGTGAATCTGGATTTGGCCGTTCTGGGAGCTACAGGAGCAGTAGATTTGGCCGAACTGCTGAGGGTGGTCAGTTTTCTGCTGCTATGGGTAGCTATGGTGGATCTGGCTCTGGTCGTTTTGGTTCTAATGCCAACCGTTCTGGAAACTTTGGTAGGCCTGGGTTCAGTCGTTCAGGTGGTTTTGGGGAGATGGGCAGAGCAGATCGATCTAGTGACTTTGGTGGCTTTGGTTCAGGTCGTTCTAGTCGATTTGGAGACTCTGGGTCAGGCCATACTGGTGGATTCAGTGACAACCTTTCAGGCCAAAGAAGTGGTGGCTTTGATTCAGGTCGGAGTCGCACTAGTGGATTTGGGGACTTTGGTTCAGGTCGTACTGGTGGACTTAATGACAATTATTCAGGCAGAAGCAGTGGCTTCGGAAGCTTTGGAGAAACCAAGCTTGATAGTGATCAGGGTTCTGGAAGAAAACTTTTCTGATTTAATAAATAATAGGTAAGCAACACCGATAGATGTCTACAGAATATCTTCTATGGGATTGCCTGAAACGACGGATTTGTTTATTCATAAACGTAATATCTCCATTCTGAGTTTTAATGAAAATGGTCTTCTCTAGGAAAGCCTCTGAAATCATGCTTTCATTTTACCTCTGCTTGTGTACGAATAATGGGCAGTGATTCTTTTCAAATTCTAAATTGGATGGCAACAATTTTTCATGCTAATGACTGGCTCTAGCATTAGAAAGATAACCGTGGAGATTTGAAGCTTTTGCGTTTATGTATTCTGCTTTTAGGGTTATAGCTGTTTATGAAGTTCTTTGTTCTAACTGGCGTTGATTATGTCCTTCAAATTTAACACCGTTGTCAAGGGATGTGGTTTGGTCAATTTTCCTATGACCATCCTGGCACCTGTACTAGTTTTGATTCTGGAGTGGTATTATATCGTGAGATTTGATATAATAACGACATAACTTTTAAAATACTTTTTAATTAAAGATATGAATTTTTTCTACCAACTGAGGATATTTTTTAAAAGTTTTTAATTAAGGCTGTCACCTTGTACATCTCTCTAATCCTTATATGTAAGTGTTCACTCTAAATAATTAGGAAGAATGATATTATAGAATTATTTCATTTTAATAAATTATTATTAAAAAGATAAATTACTTATTTTTAAAAGTAAAAATAAGGTTATTTCAATTTTTTCTTAAAATTTGGGTGATTTTCTTCTTAATTATTTAGAAATTTAGCGGATAAACACTAATTGAATTTTCTATATATTGGTAAAGTACCTGTCAGGGGGTCTCTCCAAACTTCTAGGAGAAAATTCGCTGCTTCATTAAATTAACATCCCTTCTTAATTAAATTAACATCCCTTCTTAATTAAATTAATCTAGACGTCAGTCATTAAATTAATCTAGACGTCACTTCATTAGCTCTTCTTCTTGTCAATAACTGAGCCCTTGATTTCCCCTTCTTTGAACCCCTTTTCTAACCTTTGATTTCTTCATCTTTGAGCAATTGGAGTAAGGCATGGTTTGACAATAGTGTCCGGTACTAATCTTGTAATTGTAGTTGTTAAAAGTATTGTATTATATTGTCATGAAAAAATATTTTAACATTTAGTAATTATATTTCAAAATAATTATTTATTGTAAAATTACTTAATTAGATACATTATTATTTAAAATTAAATTAATAAATAATTTAATATATAATATATGAAAAATAATTTAGAAATTTTATTAATTTTAAATAAGATGATTGTTGTATACTTTTTTGAAAAAGTAAGAATAAATAATTTACCAAACTCATAAATTACTAAAAATTCTGAGAAAAATACTATAAGTAGTGTTGTCCAACTAAGCTTAAAGGAATAACCAATTATATGCCGTCCAAGGAATTAGGATTTTTTCTTTATGAAATTTTTAACTTTCTTTGACTCTTTGTTTACCAAATTGATATTGTATTGTTTCTTTTTCCTATTGAGAAGTCTAGAGATAGTTAATTTGGTTCATATATAAATCTGATTGTGCAAGCCTAGGTTTTAGATAAATATGAACTTTGATTTGTCTCTTTCTCATCTCTACTGACAGGGGCGGAGGCAGAAATTTTTTTCGGGGAA